CTAGACAATATAAATATTTTATCATAGTCTGAACTTGCTTTTTTGCTCTTGATGGGATCCATAAAACTATAAAAACCATAAAACACCAGAATCCATAAAAGTATTGGTGAACTCTGTGAACTATATGGGTCTAGGTTTATGTAGGCATACCTCACCGATACCTACCGAGCGCCCTGCATATAAACGAAAGTTCCGCACACCGCTGTATAGGTCAATAACCGTGCAGAAAAATCTTTACATTGCAGTGCCATATTACGGTAATGCCTAAGTTTATTAGTGGGAAAGTGCTGAGAAATTTACCAGATCGAAGAGACGCCTTGTGGCCCTCAATATTCTCTTCTTAGGAAAGGGGTAAATTTTTGTAACAAAGCAAAGCGCGTATTGTGATTGATTAGTGTAATGCGTGTATGGCAAAATTAAATATGTATGAAACAAATAAATCTCAGTAGCTATAAAAAACTACATTTTTGATAAAGCCTATTTCATGACTCTTTCGAAGAACACTATTCGTTATCATAGTGAAAAAAGTCTTTCGTCAGCTGCGCTCAAAGTTACAGTGGATACTTGGTAATAACTCTTGAGATTTAGCTGCAGTTTTGTAGCATGCCTGGAGTATAACCTAGAAGTACATGTAGTGATTTCGACTCTATTATTCAAATGGGTTTTTATGTTTTTCGGAGATCTATCTGCAAATGAGAACATAGATGCAAGGGAATTTGTAATCAATCATCTAACACTGAAAAAATAAATTTGACATCATGTGAGTTTAGTTTAATGTATTCAATTTTAGAATTGAGCTCAATGTCCCAAATATTCCCCCAACGGAAATCATCATCTGCAGGCAAAGAAAAACCATCAAATCTGCAAGACAAGATTCATATGTTTCATAATCTCATAGTACCATACATCATATTTCTCTAGAAATGCCCTGGAGAGATCCCAAAAGACCTAAAATGACAAGCGTGTTTATTATACTTGAAATGTATTGATCAATCTGAAAAAGTATAGGGATGAGGGATATGACCCCAGACCCTTGAAGGTTAATCAACCGCTATTGTATTGGTTAGAATTGCGCTCAATAAAGCAGAGAAGAAAAGGTTAATCAGACCCCAATATTCCTCGTTCTTCAGATACTCACTCCTCCTTCTCCCTCCCCCCCCCCCCGAATTGTCTGCTGTAATAACTAGTGTCTCCTGTAATCGACCTTCTAATAGGCATACTACGCCATTATAATAGTGATAACATACGCCATACAAATACATACATGTGTATACGGATCTGCTTAAATTATATTTATGCTCACTCCTTTCACCTTGGTCCCCCTTTCAATGCCGTATATATAGGATATATATACTGTATACGCACAGTGCGTTGGTGAGTTGCATACTAACTTTTCTCGGAGCAATGCTTGAAAAATTGGTGTTTTTGCTGACAACCGTTGCCTCTACTGAAATTGAAACCAGCTTGTTTTTATCTAGGATAGAAGATAAATTTTGGGTCCTGCATGAATTTTTAAATGTGATGAATGAGCTTTCTTTTTTTCTGTCAAGTCCCAGATTTGTTAAAATGTTCTTTTTCCGGTACATAAAGTAAAATAAAGTAGATCTACGGAAGGAAGGCACAATTCAAAGTTGAGATCTCTAAGATCATTATTTTAGCATTTATTCCTTTTTTTAAAAGATGGCTTCTCTTTAATTAAAACCAGAGCATGGGTTTTATGAGGAAGCTTGTCCAGAGATTGCGATAGAGAAGTAGCAGTAGTACCAATGGTGTGTGGACCACTATTGCAATTGTGTTCCCCTTGGATTTATTCTTCTTCTTGTTGTTGTTATTATTATTATTATTATTAGGATTCCCCATAGGGGAATACTATTGTTTTTGCTGTTCTTCTTCTTCTTCTTCTTCTTCTTCTTCTTCTTCTTATTATTATTATTATTATTATTTTTCGTCAAAAAATTTTTTTTCTAAAATTCTGAAAAAATTCATACTGATAGCCTATGAAAAGTTATTCCGGTCCACCCAATTTCATTGACCTTGACCTTATTTTCAAGGTCACAGAGCCTTTTAAAGTGAAAATTTTGCAATTTTCAAAATGCAATATTTCCTAGAATTTTCAAGATTTTGACAAATCCTTTCATAGGTGAGGTCACACAATGATTCTATGTCATGTGACCCAATTTTAGGAAAGTAGGTCAGGTCAAGGTCAACTTATTGCACGATATGCTCTAAGTGGTTGACATTCGGCAGGGGGTAAACCAGATGTCACAGAGCCACAAGGATGATGTAAAAAGTTGCCCTGGGGATCTATCTAGTGCAGTCGCTAATAATATTGACAAATGACCGATTAGATTTTTTAATATAGATTTTTAAATATTAATAATTTCACATTTTATGTTATTCATATTTTACGATATTTAAGCATAGAGACAAAAGCTTAGAATATCAACATTTTAAGGCTCATATAATATGTATTAGGGCTCTTGTATTTCATACATACCTAGGGATGTTATGTGCTGTGGCGATATGATGATCACTGAAGCCTGTCCATTTAGACAAGCTTCAGTGAAGATCGAGGGCATCCTCGAGCCGCTACCCAAAAATATCTCGCTTCACTCGACATTTCTGCGTAGCGTCTCTCGGAAAACTCGGATTTAACCTCGATGTAGTCTAGAATTTCACGACTACATCTTGATTAAATCAGTCGAGGTCTCTTAAATGCTGGAAGTCAAAGACAGATTGATCGTGAGACCTTCTTGGCATCAAGAGAATAGTGACGTTGCTTGCGTTATATATCTACCAGTAGATAAATTTAAAATCTCTCCCTCTTAAAAAAATTGCATAAACATTTCACGCTTAACAATTATTAATTATAATTTTATTACACTAATTCATATCATATGGATATGGTTTGAAAACGGGAATTAGTTTACATTTAAGCCACACGTGCGTACACATTTTTTTTGTAAATCTATAACTTTTTAACGAGGGCTGTGTTATTTACCTTTTGTTTTTAAGCTGTTCATTCTTCCGCTTTACCAGATATATCGGTAAAAATCAAATATTTCCCCCTTTGAACTTGTAATTACATGAAGCATGCTCCATGCTATGAAACCAGCACATGTATATTCCGAAACCGCCTCGTAGTAAAACATGTCACCAAAACGTAGAATTATTACTCCTGTGGCCTTGAAATAAACATCCGTTTGATTTTGACTATATTCCGTAACCGCCTCGTCGTCAGAAATAACAATAAAAACTAGAATTATTACTCCCGTGAACTTGGAATAAACATCCGTTTGATTTTGACTATATTCCGTAACCGCCTCGTCGTCAGANAATATCACTTGAAATTACTTTTTTCGTCAATACAAATATTATGTTTGCAGAAAAGGACAAAGGTATGGCTAAATTCATAAAACGTTGCAAAGAAAATAAATAATATAAACGAAAATAAAACAAAGAACATAGTGAAATCGTTAACATATATATTTTATCTTTATTATTCTTGTATTTTTTTGTTTTTATTTTTTTTTAAATAAAGCAATATTTTCTGATTTAGATCGGACGTTTAAACATCACCAGCAATAGTACGACAACATGTTCGTTCTGACAAATAATTAATATGCCTGAAACTATCATTTTTAAGCCTAACTCAACTACGACGGCAGAGCGCTGACCCAGGATCTGATCTGATCCTTGCAGCAGTGTGTAATAAATTTACTTATTATTGAAGCAATCAACTAATTCATTACTGACGCATTAAGATCGCTGGTTCATGACGTAATAAATTTATTTACTGACGCAATAAAGTGATTCCTTCCTGACGTAATAAACAAATTGCTTACTGGCACAATGAACCCGATGCTTATTGATGCAATTAATTAGTACCATACTTAGGGTATTAATTCATTGCTTACAGACTTAATGAACTAATTCATACGGATATTATAACCCGTTGGTAAATGATGTTAAAAAACAATCGCGTTACGTTATTAAGGATAAGAAACAATTCAAATTAATGCAGATTGACCTATAATGTGCGCTCAGTGCTTTTTTTTTTAATAATAATAATCATCTTTATTGGAGAAATCGCAACCCGAAGGTTGAAGTTATACAATTACATATATGAATATTTAAGTCAAGGAAGCCTGGTTATTTTTGCACTGGTGCACTCCGTAGGCGGTCTCACCTCCCTGGGGAGCATACAGCTCGGCTGCCATATAAGGCGCTCATAGCTAATATAACATTTCTAACCTGCCTGACCAGGCCCCTGCTTCAACCCCTTTATGCTGAGTGCCATCATTATACACAGGTAAACGATCCGAATTAACTCATATTGAAGTTTTGTGTTGGCTCATTATCTAACAGAATGCGTTATTAAATTCAAGTAATTTTTGTCACAGATATCTTTCTTACTACTACAAAATTGCACTGCCCGGTATTGTTTGAGGGCACTCACATCGATCCTTCCTTTCATGCCATTGAGAGACTATTAAAGGATTAAGCGGTCTTCATTTCATGAAGGTCCGCCATATTTAGGTCTCGGACTCGCTAGATCTCGGCTCTTCTCGATGTGAATGCTCTCTTTAAAAGGTAGAGCAGCTGCCTTTTGCCCCCTTCAAAGTTAAGCTTTGACAACATTTCACTCTCAACATCAGATTAATACATAAATATTTATGACCACTACCTGATATGTTATTGATATATTATATATTGATATTATTGAGCGATATATTGCTGACACATTAATGATATATTATTTCAGCATATTGTTTTGCTGCAAATTTGTGGAGTTGGTCCCCTAGTGGTCACAAGCTCGGTTCAACCTGACCTTCAGCAGTACGTTTTATATTCTGACCTGGTCACCATAGCCACTAAATACCAGTTATTCGTGAACAGTTTAACTGAAGCGATATGCATTTCTTTGTGAATCTGAACTGCCACACTTATAAAGATATCTTAGCTATCTAGTATCATGTCTTGTTCCTTTGCTTGTACTTCTATCGCCTAAGGCCAGTGAGTGCGGCAATGCCCCCCACAATTACAGCCATAGACCCCAAAAACATTGTCCAGATGGTTTGTGCCTGAAATAATATTAATCAATGAAAAAAATAACAATAATGATAATCAAATGTCTTAATAAAATGAAAAAGAAACAATATAATAAAATATAAAAAGCAATTATTTATCAAACAAATAAGTGTACTGCTTCGGTTTAAACATTTTACAAATCAATAATGTTCATTTTGTTATGGATATGACAGTTAAATACATTCACTGTGTTAGCTGCGAAAGTGATCACGCGACCACGTTTGCTGCATAAGGCCGTTCAGAGCAAGTAGATCCGCGAACTTACAGATCCCTAGATTAAATCTGGCCGACCCACTTGAAAACTTGCTGCATGTTTCCCTAAAAAAATACCGAATGGATCCCCGCAAAAATAGGGAATACACAGGTAAAGCGTAAGCTTTCAAGTGGTTGGGTCATATTTCAACCAGGATCTGTTAGTCTGCGGATAAATTTGAAAAAATGTGGCCTTGAGGAGCAAAATGGGATGATGTTCTGTGTGCCAGAATGAGTGTCTGATGAATGAAAGAAATGGAAATGACTGACAATATATAGATGAATGGAAAGTTTTATGGATGAATGAAAGGTGGACAGAGACAAAGACATGAAACAGACAGACAGACAGGCAGGGCGAACAAAGAAAGTGAAAAGTAATTATAATAAGGACACCACACTGGAAAATAAAAAAGACGGATAAAGAAATAATAAAAACAAATAACCTAAATTGAAGTTAATAAAAAAGAAAAAAAAAAACAACAACAAATAAAAAAAAACATACCTGTTCACTGCACTCTTCACCATATCTACACCAGGCTACAAAATGTTCACTATTTCTCAAGAAGAGATTGAACTCGCTCACTCCCAGCTTTGACAGAGCCCTCGTCACTATCACATCACAGCTGAAACAAGAGAATTTGGGTGTGAGATGAATTTGTTCCACATTATCTGCTCGATTTCATACTGCAAATTACTCCTCAAGAATTTAAGTATAAAACAAAGAATGAAAGAATTAATGTTTTAAAAATATTGTAAAGAATTAACATTATAATTGACATGTCAAGCGCTACTAAAGCACGAATTAACATTTATAATTGACATGTCAAGGGCGCCTTAAAATATTGACTTAATACTGAAATATAATGTATTTCAAACATTTTAGTATTGAAAAAAGAATAAAAGAAATTTTACTTTATCAAGTATTATGCTTATAAACACTAAGTAATTGACGTGTCAAGCTTCATTAAAAAAGAATAAACAAGAATAATCCTATTAGATTACCATTTCGTATTTAGTCATCTAACATGTCTGTATTGGCAACAGACATTTACCTGTATTTGGCGTCCCTTCTGTTGTTTTTGAACGCCTTACTCCTCCCTGCCACTGTCCAAAAGGAATCCCTTCGAACTACCCCCGTCATAGAACGCTCACTAGAGGAACTGAAGACACCTCCTGAATTGCGTTCAATAAAATGGACCACTTCTTCATTACCTAATTTTAAATTTTATTTTTTTATTTAATATAAAATCTCAACTTCAAACCGCTCCGTTTTGATGTGTTAAAAATCATTCCTCCTGACTTTTACTGACACAGCGTGTGTGTATGTGTATCCATGTGTGTGAGAGTAATGCTCCATTATGGTACTATTTTACTGTTAACGTTAGGGTTTTAGTTCATAAACAGTATCGAGCCAAAGAATCTGCTGATATTTTATGAGGGGTACAAAATAACCCACTCACCAATATAAACGGCCCAGTGGGAGAAGAGCCACGACCTTTGGAACTCCACCAGGTCTCCCGGCACAAGGGAATCTAACACTGCCTGGTTATGACGCCTCACGTCTTCCATATTTCATTGTCCCTCGGTAATACACTGTAGCTATAGCTCCTGATCCACAAAATTCTGTAGATCAGCTAGAGTTTACGGAGAACAACCTCGCTTACTCGTGGCTGTATCGTTCTAGACACGACTTTTAATTTGGGAAGTCACATGCCCCTTGAAATCAATCAAGGACTACGTTTAGCTTTGACGTCATCGGCACTGTTCGCATTTGATGGGATCCACTAATCTTATTTGACCGGGTCAAAGTTCTCATTTTATTTGTAAATATATAATTCATTATTATTATTCATCCGCTTATTTTGTAAGGAACTTATTATGATTATCAAAATATCTGTATTGACTCATGAAATGTTAGTCCCTCAATTAAAACATATTTCAAAACGAAAGGAGACGCCAGAAATGTTCACCTTTATATTGCACCGACTTGGTCTTATAAGGTTTACATAGTGCTGTTTCATTTAACAGCCTCTATCTTCTTATATATTAATTGGATCACACCAAAGACACTTATCAATTTTAAAGAGGAAAACATGAAACGTTAGCAGCTGTTTTTTGGTCAATTTATCTAAAAGACAAACAAACGATTTCAGTTTATAAAAGCGCTTGGAACTCCACAAGACAGTGGACTCCAATTGCATGAAAACTGTCGTCTGTTTATACTTTTTCGCGTGAAAATTCCGTACACCAATCAAGACCTCTGAGATACCATCTTATCCTTTTGTGCTTACTGAAAACGAGCGTGTCTCGGATCACGAAATTGGTACCTGTCCAAAAAAGACAAGGACCACAAGCTTAAGAATTGATAACAACGTTAACAATTATGATAAAACAAAGGGAACGCGGTTGATGATTGTCTATTCTATGAACTGTCCGTATCGCGTTTTCACGAAGAGACCACTTAATCGCTCTTAAACAGATACCCAAAGAGACAAAGTGCATTCCACTAAGTTAACCTAGCAAATTTAATCGAACATTAATATTTTATCTACTTGTTGACCTTTTCTCTTTTAAATTGACACGATGTCATGAAGTCCGACATGGTTTATATATATATATATATATATATATATATATATATATATATATATATATATATATATATATATATATATTGTCGTTAGCTTTAGGTGGTGATTTATTAACTCACTGTCTAATAAATAAAGCCTGTATGACAGTTATTGAAAGTTGCTGAACTAAGTCCGTTTACATTAACTAAATAGTAGTAATTTAGACGGAATTGTCAAGATAGGTCTGTTACGGGCTAGATGTTAGTGGTGATTGATTAAACGATTATTATAAGTCTATGGATAACTTGATTATGAGAACAGAACAGAATCTTGAGAATTAATCTGATTGATTAGGTAACTTAATTATGAACATCTATAATATTGAGAACGGTACTGCATTAACGTAGGTCTGCGATCACTGAAGGTTTTCTTTATAGTTCATTTTCATTTGCAACATTTTATGATTCATTTGAATTGCACTGCATTACATTGCTTCTACCATATAATCACTAGACCCAATGATATCTTGACCGATTTGTTTGCGATAACTACTCGTATATCGGTGGTTAAAGGTATTTTAAAAAGTTGTGAAAGCCTGACACTGGTTGACGTGTGCATGCTTTGAAGCAGATGAGATGGGAAGGGCAGATTAATTTTATTTTTTCCCCTTTCGTAATGAGAACGTAGTCTTCCATAAGTAATTCCATTACTTTTTTTTTATTTATGATAAGTTTATATGACTTGAAACTAACTGATGACATTCAGTATACCAGTAAAGGGCAAAAGCTGTGGAGGTTTTTTTTTAAATCACTTGTTCAGATTTTCTTTTTATCTTACCTATTAACCCATTACAGTGACTTCATATTTGCTCCGTAACACTAGTCCAGCAACCATACTGGAGGGAAAGAACGATGGGGAATAGTAGCGTAAATACATGTATAGGTAAACCAAATAAAATAAACTAAACTTCACATCGCGATCAAGTACACCAAAAGGAAAAGTGTATATACATTTGAAAACTACAGCTGATCAGCAGGATCGACCCATATAAACTCAGGACAGTCCAAAGACGAGAAATCCTGACTTATCCCAACATCGTGGAATTGTCAGAAGCTAGTTCAGTTATCTTGTACTTCATTTTTCTTGTTCACTGGATAATAACAGTTATAGTTTTAGAGAGTTTAATGTGTAATCATAAGTTCAATCTTTCATAGTAGCAACTTTTTACATAAAGGATAGATGAAAGAAGAAATTTGAACTGACCATTGGGATCGACCCTTTAGGACTCAAAGAAGACAGTATGCAGAGTTGTCTTATAACAAGAAATATTGCTGTCAGATATGATTTAACTGAACATCATGAAGCTCTCAGAAATTATTTCAGCATTCTTGTAGTTCATTTTGGTTCATTAGGAAGTACATGTAACATGACTCTTGTTTGAGAGTTCAATATTTTATTATGAATTCAACCATTCACATTAGCAACATAATGCATTGTTAGCATTTTATTATTAGTCCAGACATTCACAGAAGAAAGGCATTTCAAACTTATTAATTTATGATATCCAATGTAGCATAACAACAAGGCAGTACATGAATTGATCTTCATTTGATAAAAATATAGGAAAATGCACATTTTGTATGAATAAAAGTAAACATAAAATGCAAAACATTGTTGACATTGTTGCACAATTCAATGACAGATTATCAGGGTCCCTTTCCTTTCGGTTGATAACACTGACATGAAAAATATTTCCATACTTTTAATGATAAAATGCAACATGTACATGAGCATATTAAGTCGAATCAAGGCACTATAATCTTAGAAACCTGTTTGGTATATTTTTATCTATGTCTAGAGAAATGCTTGGTTGAAGACTCACAATTGATATGTGCTGTGTGCAATAATTGTGTGTAGGTATGTACATATAATTGTGTTACTAAGCAGTTTGTAATTTCATTTAGGAGAATTCCACAACTGGTGGTCACAATTTAAAAAATGTGCAACCAACAAGAGCTAAATCTTTTCTTGATACAGGACAGCCATCTGTTTCTCCATATCAGACCATCTGTGAGAAGTGTAACATACAAAGTATTATATTTTTTGCAAACTTTTCTATTTAGCCTTTAAAAATATGAGAAAGAAAAAGTGTTTTCATTTCTTCTTGTGCTTCTGCTCACAATTCTAAATAAATAGAATACCTATCCTTGTTGTATGCAAGCTATCAGGATAACAACTTAAACGACAAATGAACAATTAAATAACTCCTGTCATGCACTGAATTTCACTCTCCTGATGTTCAGATTCTGTCTCCTCAGCTGGTCACAAAGATATAAGAATATTATTTCGCTGCTTCTACCTTGTGTGCCATCTAGCTGCCTTTTTGTACCTGTCACCTATTGTTGTTGTTTTTATTTTATTTTATTTTATTTTATTTTATTTATTATTTCTATTATTATTATTATTATTATTATTATTATTATTATTATTTTATTATTTATTTATTTATTTATTTTTTTTTTTTTGATAATCAAGATTTACTTGCACCCAATCATTCATTACTTCTGTGTGTGCGAGATTATTTTAATAGAAAAGATTTGAATTGTGTTATTAAGTCTGTCCACATTATACGTAGAATGTTTTCTTATATTTTCAGATACTAGTAACAAGAGGGACCCAGCTGAAGGGAATGAAGGTCCAAGATCATTTGCTGTTCAGTCTTAGCCTAAACTTCAATGTAAAGGTGGGAAATCTTCATTAGGCCCTATATATTTTTCACTTTGTGTACTTTAACTTATGACAATTGTATTGATTATTATTATTATTATTATTATTGCCACAGATGTCCAGACAAACAGAAATGCAATATGTCACATGCAGAATATTCTGGTCACATGATGTATGCCTCTGACAAATCTCTTCAGCAGCACATGGTCAGGATTTACATTGAATTGAGTTCATAACGGATTTGAATTACTTTAAATCATTTTAACTACTTAAAATTACATCGTTTTAGGTTGTGTCCACTGACTGCTGACCGTTGAAGAAAATTCAGTGACATACCTCAAATTTCATGTGTGAATAGCCCCACCCCCTTTGACAGCACAGTACAGGAGACCACAATTTTGTGAGACTATGTCTCGATTTTACAAGTGAAGGGCAGCTCTTTTGCAAGCTTTGAAAATTTCTATGTATATTTGACTTAGAACCAAAATGTTATAGGGTCCACAGAGGCACCAAATGGAGAGATTATGTTCATAATTAATTTTGACACACTTTAATATATGAAAGCAAAACATGAAAAGATTTTACATAAGATGAATTTTTATATGCATTTGTACTATGTGAAACTTAGAGAGTTTTCAAGCCTTAATTCATATGTCATGAAGTCTAAAATCATTGTGCAATAAACTTGCAAATGAAATGTGTATAATAAAGTGTACTGTGGGATAATCATATAAATTCAATTTGAACTTTTATCTTATCCCATAATAGTAGTGTGGAAAAATAAAACTGACTTAATATAATGAAAAAGCTGGACAAGATTTTACTATGAAGATTTCTATCTGACACTTGTGATAAATGTGCATATATATGTTTTTTTAATTCTTTGATTATTAACCATTTCTTTATACAAGATCAACTCTACGTCAGATTTCATCTTTTTTATTCCTGTATTTTTATTTATTCATTTCTTTTTTAATGAAGTGATCATTTCCGATTAAGATGGACGTTTAAGCACGACCAGCAATAGCAAAATGAATGCCAGCACGAAGGTTGAACTAAAATCAACATGTTCGTTCTGACAAATAATTAATATCCCTGAAACTATCATTTAAGGGGTTTAGAATATAAACGAAAAAGTCCAAAACTAATGCAGATAATTAAATTTCCTATTAACTAAAGGATATGGTCTAGCAAGCAAAAGTATTTTCCAAAGTTTGTAGTCACAGTGTAACACGAGTGACGTAATATCAGGTTTTGGGGCTAAAATTGTCATTTTTTTAATCAAGATTTTCTCTTAAACAAAAAGCCCTATAAATACGATTGAAATAGCTTTCTAAAGGATAGCACAAAAACCAGTAAACTTAGTCAGGATTTTATCTTATTATTTTTACTTTTGATTTTATTTTGATAAAACGTGAATTTACGAAATATATATGGACCCTCCACTTTCAGTATTAATAACTTCAAAAATAAAAGGCCAATTAAAAATCCAAGACTTAGTTGACTAGATATTATACTGAAACACAGATACATCAAATTTCATGTCAATCTGACATTTAAAGAATGAGATATGTGGATTGAAGTTTAGGCTATGTTATCAATCTTTAAAGGTATACTGTGATGAAAAAACGGGTTAAAACTATCTATTAGGTGCCCAAAAGTCATTTTTGAGTAATGAAAAAAAAGTTCTTACGTTTATTTAGTTTTTAAAGCCGATTTTATGCAGGTGTGAATGTAGTTTACGATACTCCCGCGTGGCGGCGCTTTGAGGCGAGTGACGTCATTGGCGTCGAGGCTCAGAAAGCCATATTCGATTCAGCTATCCGCTTACTTACATTTATACTCGATCGCTTTGTCTGAACTATTTTGTAAAAATGAACAGAGAACGAATTGAAGGATATTTGTTTGAACCAGAGGGTATTGCAGAAGATGTGGATGATGCAGAGTGGAAAACGGACCAGGAAGATAGTGAAGGAGAGCTCTCAGTCAGCCGACTAAACGATTTGGCGTGGTGTGTGTGAGTGTGGCCATTGTGAGCTTATGCCCACCTTTGTGGAATCAACGTGCTGTAGTGAAAACACTGCTGTGTCTGCCAAAATGAAGCACGATACCAGATGCGTTACAGAACTACAGACCTTCAATAATGCATGTTTAGACGCAGACATGCTGGAGATCCTCATGGCATCGATGAAAGAAGTGCTCGGGGAAAGTCTGCGTGACCCAATTACGAACAGGTAAGACAATGGCGGCGCTTTTCGGAATGTCGTTTAGTCCGGTTGTATTTTAATTTCCACTAAACTAAGTCCTGTATATTAACTCATTTTATATTAAAATAATTATTTAACTGATTATTATCGTTCATTGAAGCGGTGGTGACATGTTCGACTGAGAATAACACACAAAATGATCATACCACATTTTTATTTTCTAGAATGTACAGATATGTGGCGTACAGAAGCTTCACATGGTGGATATATGGGAAGCTGGGGAGGAGGCGAAGGAAAGTTATTCCTGCCTGTGTAGTGACCTCAATAAGGAAACGGTTTCCAGAAAAAGATGGATGTTATGAAGGTTATCATGAGGTACTGGGTGGACCAATGGACGGCCATGAGGATTTGTGATTATGCTCAATATATGAATAGGCCTACATTTAAACATTTATTTTTGCTTTATTTTTGTGACTGTGGACCTTTACAATGAACTGCATTTAGAACATGAACTCTGTACAGTTAATGCATAACATACATCTGTAGTGCTCATCAGTCTGCTGCTACAATTCACACTGATTATTTTTACAATGATTAGAATATACATTTGAAGGATCAACTGTACTTGTATATATTCATAAAATAAGGACACATCAACTGCTCAAGTTACTGAATAGTATCACAAGTACAAAGACTTCTTAATTCAGCTAATATTTTTACTCATATTAAATGATATGTAATACTCCGTACTTAAACGCAGATTGCAAGAAATGTATTTTTTCTTTTACGTTGAGCTATGTCACTCAAACAAGAAATTGAGTATGTAAGATTTTTTGAACCATCTGAACACTTCATATTTGTATATACAGGGGTCAAGTCTAATAGGTCAGTTTGCGGAATCTAGAAATGTGTCCCTGTACAACTTCATCTTTAGTGGGCTTCGGCGTCTTGGCCACAGTGTTCCTTGCTAACTCTGGGACAAAAATCTTGTCAATTTCTTCCCAAAGCCCTGTAATTTCCAATAAACAGATAATGTTAATCATTGTAATATAATAAAAATAAGTTGACCAACAAAAATATATGAAATGTATAAGGTTGTCTTTGTCACATTTATATCCTAAAACAGTCACATTATAAAGAATGAGGCACAGTATCTCTCTTCTGGACTATCATTTCAGAATCTATTATATTGTGAATCTGAAAAAAAAAAATGTATAAAATCGAAATCTTACATTATGTGGATTTATGTAGTTACTAGACAAAATAATCACTGCTATTTCAGAATCCTAACCATGGATGTTCCATCTGCATTACACAAAAATATGTCAGCAAATTTTTGAGTAAATGCATGATTAGATTTAAAAAATTTTCAAAAAAATATTATCTCTGCGTGTGACAGGTAATATGAACTTTAGACCAAAGGGCAAAGGCTTTAGGCGCTTGCTAGCAGTGCAAACTAAAAGCGATACACACAATTGATCACTACATGATCATTTATAAATTCAAATTTTTGAAGATAGATACACAAAAGAAGATGAATTCCCTACGTGGTTATCATTTATTAACCAACAAAATACACCAAAACTATGTTAACAGTAAAGGTTTGGAAGCAGGGCAGCAAACATAGTTTTTCACACATGCCCATCTGTCGCGTCGGCTGAACGTTCTTATCCCGACTGATAAGAGAAAGTTACCTAATACATGCAGGTGTGACAGCTAACATTATTTTTCACACCCGTGCAGTTTACCAGTGTCATTCCGGGAGAGCCAGGTCAGTGGACAAAAGGCCAAAGATATCGGACTGATAGCATCGGACACTACATTTCACACCTCTGCAACGTACCTCGCTACTTCCGCCTTACACGTGATCAGTGCAGCAGTATGTCGAGTAAAAATTTGATTCCACTATCATGTTATATTAAAGTTTTCACTAACATAATAAAAAAATTCGACAACGTACCTCTGCTACGAACTTTTTTGGGGCTCTAGAAGCTCTAGAGACTCTAGTTTTTTCCGTGTTTTTCCACCGCACAATTCAGCTCGCAGGTCACGTACGAAGCATTCCGGCTCGAAGTGGTCGCTACAGATCCTCGCGTGTTTTGACACTGTGCTGGGATTTTTTAACTTCAGAGAATTGAGCCAAATTTTACGTTTTGCGGCATCCGCAGGCAGGACATAATAGCAGATGTCTTTCTTATCGTAACCTAAATTACGGCACCCGGGAGCAACACAACTTTGCGGCATTTTGTTTTTCTGACACCTAGATGTTTAGTCACCTACTGCATAGTAGGCCTATATACTATTACTAGTACAGCTGTGGAAAGCTACTCCCCGGGTTACGTCACTAGAAACTGACCAATCAGAATTTTCTCATCTAAATCTCATCTTTTCTCTCTAAAACTTAAAATGAACAATTTTTTGACGTCGATTTATAGTTTTTATACTGTAAAAAAAGCAGTGAACGCTCTGTGTTCCTAGAGCACAGTAGGCCTTTAAAGCTGAGAAATCGCTCATAAACCATTTGGCTCAGGTAATTGGGCTAATTTAGCAAATTAATTGCACCTCCACCTTACCTGTTATGATCTTATTGATCGGGAAGGTCTATACACCATTACGTGTTAAAATTGGGTTGTTTGTTTCTATCTAGATGCCAGAAAATCTTACTTTTGTATGCAAACTTATTCGCACCACGAAAGCCGCTCTTCCCTGAGAAATGATTGACAGCTGAGAAATGATTGACAGATGATACTGTACTTTTATCGGAAACGTCTCAAGGACTACAAAAACTTCTAGATACCCTGAATTTATACTCACAAAAATGGAATTTAACGGTTAATACAGCAAAAACAAAAACAATGGTCTTTAGAAATGGGGGTAAGTTAAGGGCTGAAGAGAAATGGAAATATGACGGTGTTGTCTTAGAACGGGTGAATCAATTTAGTTATCTCGGATTACTTTTTAATTTTAATGGAAAGTTTTGTCAAACCCAAAAACATATAGCAGAACAGGGTAAAAAAGCATTATTTGCTATAAGCAGCATGTTAAAAAGCCCTAACTTTAATGTGTCCACCAGGTGTGCAGTATTTGATACGTACGTTGGTAGTATTTTAAATTACGCATCAGAAATATGGGGAATTAATAAGGCAAAGGATATAAGAAAGGTACATACTGATTTTTTGAAAAGAATGCTGGGTGTTAAAAGAAGCACTAGTAATAACTTAGTATATTATGAAACTGGACGATATCCACTTATTTTAAGTAGAAAACTAAGAATTTTTAAATATTGGCTGAAAATCCGCTCTTCAAAAAACTGTATTATACAAACATGCTATAAAGATATCCTTAACAATAATTTTGAGTGGATAAATTGTATACGGAAGGACCTTGAATTAATGGGTATGTCATTTATTTTTTATGAAAACATGTCGGATATGTGTATACTGTCTTTGATAGAACAAAGATTGAAGGATCATTTTAGACAAGTACTGACAGGAGAAATATTCACAGCCAGTAAAGGGCTTCTGTATCAACACCTTATTGATAATTTCACAGTGCAATTTTATTTGAATAAGCCAATTTCACAGAAAAGTAAGGAATTTATTGCAAAATTTAGGCTTTCATTACATAATCTAGCTATAGAGACTGGCCGATACACAGACACAAACAAGAAATTAAGAATCTGTAAGTTATGCAATTTAAACGATGTAGAGGATGAATTTAATTTTATTCTTAAATGCCCTCACTACAACACGATTAGGCAGAAATATATTAAGAACTTTTATTATACAAAACCAAGTGTCTTTAAATTAATTAAATTACTATCACTTTACAATGTATAGCAATTAAACAATTTGGGAAAATACCTGAAATGTGCATCGGAACTAAGATTAATGTCAATCTGATGAATTATTATTATTATTATTAATAGTATTATTATTGTTTGTATCAGTAGTAGTTGTTGTAGTCATGGTAGTTGATTAGATATAACTTTATATTGTCACTGTTTTGTATTCTGATGAGCCGTAGGGCTTAAAGGTTTAATAAATTGAAATTGAAAATTGAGTAGGCCTACCTACTCTCGTTTCACTGACGTAATTAATCAAAATTGTGCCTGACGCAGTAGGAGTCTGTGCACTGTCTAGGAAGTGTCTAAGGAAGCGCTAAGAAATAAAAAGAAAACTAGACTGCAACTGGCTTAAGCCAGTGGCGGAGGATTCCCCTGCAAAATAGGTGTGGAAACGCTCTGACAAGGTCATGTGAAGGTCATGGGTTAAATTTGACCCCATATTCTGAAAGAGCATGTGCGAATTGGGGGGGGGGGGGGGCAAGAAGACATCAATTTAGGCCACTTCAATATTTCTCCATGAAATAGCCGAATGACCTTGAAAATGAGGGTCAAGGTCAAATTTGACATTTGATTTGGGAGTGTTGGGTATATGTTTGGGGTATTTTACTATAGCATGTTATCACAAAAAATCAATATTTCATGGAGAAATTGACAAAGTCACATTTTCTGTGAAATTATTAATTTTTCCCTCATTTAAAGACATGCAGCGCCGCTAAAGGTGCAAAATTACAAAAAAAAAAAGTCTGTTGAAACTTAGTTAAAAGCACCCATCTAAAAACAGACGAATATTTCTCCTTTTCACTTATCGATTACTCAACATGCGGCCCGACTGAACTGAGAAGCCATACTTGTTTACCTAGCTCGTGTAGTTAGGTGTTCTCAGAGGTCCGTGCGCGGCCTGTTTTCAGTGTTTCGAGCATTACGTGTTTTTCATTCTTACAGTCGGCATGACGTCACAAGATGGCCGCCACGCCCGGACTAGGCTAAAACAATCTGTAAGCTCCATTACTCCCCATGTTAAAATGATCAACTTTGATCGTCTGTATCTCTCACACCGGTAGATAATTAAACTTGACAACTGTTTAATTATATCAACACAGGTATTTAGTGTCAGGAAATGGCCATCAAAGACCTTTTCTAGCATTGATGCCGATTTTATCAGAGATTGAAATGCACCTCTCTTACACTGTAATTATATGAGCTGCAGTTACAGTTCTGATTGTTTTTCAGGTAAGAAGTTCCAATGGCTTTGTTATCGGATGACACCCTGAGCTTCAGAGATAACTTGACACTAACCTCTTCACTATAGCCTATCTTCATCGTGTCAAGTTACCTCTGACGAAAATAGTTTGGCCTAGTTTATATAAGCCAATCGAATCCAAGTTTCAAAAATTTTCACCAAAGTTTGGTGAAAACGCTGATTGGTTGATCGTCAATCGGCAATCCTCGGCTGATTCCGCAAGCTCCATACTAACAACAAAGTTATTGTCGAGTGCGGAGACATCCGAGTAGTTCCGAGTGCATAACCGTACACAAAGAAAGCATGGCGTCTCCTACGAGTGACTACGTAAAATAATGTGTTAAGTTATCTCTTGATTGTTTGCAAAATATGAGTATATCGGAATTGAAACCAGAGCAGTTTGAGGCCCTGCATCATTATCTACTTAGGGATGATGTATTTTGCGTGATGCCCACAGGTTACGGCAAGTCCCTGATATTCAGCCTTATCTTTGATTGGTCCGGATTTGAACAAAGCGCGCTTTGACTCGTTCGCGTTCAATGGCTAGATCGTTCAATGAGTCATTGAGTGCAGGCTTTAAATTTGATTGGCAGGCGGCGGGGCAATCGAATGTGGTCAGAGGTAACTTGACACGATGAAGATAGGCTATNTAAAAGCTATTGAGAAGCCCACTGATCTCTCCCTGTATTGCAAGTTAGAAAATCAAATCATATAGAGTGCACCGTGACTTTATTTGCGTGTGATTTAATGGAATTGTATTAAGTCTATTTGTTTTTCACTTGTCAGGATCACAAACAAGCAAAGCAAAGCAAGAAGCCATGCAGAGACTGATGGCGTTTTTGGACATATTCACAGAAATACACGTCTCCTAAACATTTTCGCAAAAAGCTGAAAAATAGAAGCCAGACCCACATACTAGTTCCTTGGGTAATGATGCTTCTTACTCCCTATATTAACTTTGTGTGTAAAATGATAAACATGTGTAAAATACTTTCTCGGCCACATTCAAAACAAACAACTTATAATGCAAGGCACTTAAAATGGTAACAATCCAGGCACACATCCTCTGTAAAAAAACGGCCGCCGTAATCAGTAGTG